GAGCCAGGCTGGGAGAGCTGGGAATGTTCCCCTGGAGAAGGGAAAATTCCAGGGAATGTTCAGAGTCCCTGCAGGGGCTCCAGGAGAGCTGGAGAGGGACTGGGGACAAGGGACAGAGGGACAGGAGCCAGGGAATGGCTCCCACTGGGAAAGGGGAGCTTGGGCTGGGATCTTGGCAAGGAATTCCTGGCTGGGATTTGTCTGGAATTCCCAGATTTGCTGTGGCTGCCCCTGGATCCCTGGCAGTGCCCAAGGCCAGGTTGGACACTGGGGTTGGATCCACCTGGGACAGTGGGAGCTGTCCCTGCCATGGACTGGTGGCTCTGGGTGGGATTTGAGGTCCCTTCCCACCCAAACCATTCCATGGCTCCATGAATCAAGACCTGCAGAGCTGGAACAGGGAAATGACAACTGGAGCAGTTTCTCCATCAGCACAGGTCCTCCACATTTCCTTTCCCTCCTCACCTCCCTGTTTTCGGGACAGGGGGATGAGAGGGGACGCAGGGACCAGCACCCCACCCTCTGCAGGAGCCCCAGGGGGACAGGCAGAACCAGGGAGGAGGAATTTCACCAAACCCCACAATTCTCTGGGGCTTCCCACAGCAAAAATTTCTAAATTTCCAAAACTTCTCAGCCCTGCTAACAAACACATGCTGCTTCCATCAAACCTTTCTGGATCCGCAGAGTTCCATCACCCAAATTCACCTCCCCGAGGCCATCAGGGGCTTTCTCCCCCAAATATCTTCTCTAATCCTCCTCAAATATTTAACCCAAACAACCAAGAGGGCAGAAAAGCACCCCAAACAGGTGCAATTACCAAAGATAACTTTGCATTTCAAGGAAAATTAGGAAATCCTAAGAGCCTGCCGGAGAGGGGGATGAATGACAGTGTGGGGTATTCCCACTGCACAGAATGTTTGGGGTTGGGGGCATTTTAACAAACACTCAGCTGCATATTTGATAAAAAAACAAGCCTGGCTTTTAAATATTTCAGTAAAAGCTCGAGGAGATAAGCTCAGCTGAAGAAATGGAGTGTGTTTTCTTGCTCCCCTGAATAAATACTGATCAAGCAGCTCTTTCTCCTCTGTTTTGCTGACCACATAATTGACACAGCCGGGCTGAAAATCCTGTTTTTAAAACATCTTTCTAATGTAGGAATAAGCCGCAGAGCCCCCCTCAATCAGGAGCTCTCAGCAGTGCAGCAGCTATCGACAGGTGAGAGATCGATTCTTCATTTTTGCTAATGAGGCCCCAGAACTGGCTTTTTCCCACCCTGGGTTAATGGGCACTTTGCTGGGCAGTGCGCTGCAGCTCGGGAGGAAGAGCAGGGAAGGGCGGAGGGGCTGGCAAGGGGCAGCGCTGCAGGAAACGGCGTTTCTTCTGGAAGCCACCTCAGAGATGGTCCCGGGCAAGCGCTGCAAGCACCAGCACAGCTCCCGGGAGGCTTTTTTATCTTGAGCTAGCCCAGAACCGTTCCCTTGCAGCTCAGTTGGAAAAATCCGCCTGGGAAAGGCAGCAGAGCGAGGCTGGTCCCAGCGGGGCCTGCCAGGGAGCCGTGTGCCGGGACATGGCTTCAGGCTGTGCGTTCACCGCTCCTCGTGTGCAGGAACCATCTCGGCAGGGCTGTGCTGGAGCCTGCAGCTCCTGCCACCCTCGCCGTGGGTTTCTGAACGAGAGGCGCGGGGGGTTCGAGCCCTGCCAGGCGCCGCTGCAGCGGGGAGCCTCAGCCGGGAGCTCGCTGCACAGCTCTGTCAAAACAACTCGTCTGCCTCGTCCCGAGCTCTGCCTCGCGGGGGGAGCTCGCTGGAGGTGCCACAGCCCTGCCCAGGTGCTTCTGGAGCCTCCGAGGGCAGCGGGGCGCTCCGGGTGCCCAGCTCGGGGCAGGACGGGGCAGCCTCGTGCTGCCACGCTCGTCCCAAACCTCCCTGGTGTGGATCAGCACTCGTGGGAGAGAGCCCTCCGCTCGGAATGCCTCCTCCCGTCAGCCTTCTGCTGTATTTTTGATCAGGTTGCTCTAAAGCTTTTACATTTCTGAAGGGGAGCGGCGTTTCTCACGCGAGGAAGCGGTTCTTGAGGGAGATAAAGCCAATTTTCCCTCCAGACCGCTGAAGTGCCACCCAGCCCTCCTGAGGAGCAGCAGCTGCAGTTTATCCTCGCTCACACTCTGTGTTCCCAGGTCACAGCTCCAGCATCCACTCCTTGCCCACGGGGACACACGGGGATCAGCTCAGATCCCAGTCAGAGAGGGCTAAATCCCCCCAAAATCAGTCCAAAATCACATTTGCCTCCATCTGCTGGTGTCCTGCCACACGTGGCCAGCTCAGCAGTGCAGCAGAGGAGTGGCACGCTCGTTTGTCACACAGGATGTGGCTCAGTCCCTTATTCCAGCACCAATCCTTGCAGGTGTGCCACAAACCAGGCTCCTCTCCAGAGCACCCCAGCTCCCCTTCCCCAAATTAGCACCAGAAACCTGCAAATTGTTCCTGCCTCTCAGCCAGAGCCCATCCTGCAGAGTGCTGTATGGAAAAGCCAGGAAATCTGTCAGTCTCAGCTCCAGGAAAGCAAAAAGGCATTTTCCAGGTGGCTTTGGATCAAATTTGGGGTGGGGAGGATGGGAGTGAGAGGCCTGGGGCTCTGCTCCCAGGGAAGTGGAGGAGAGGGAGCAGCCTCAGGGGAGAATTCCACTGGGAGATTCCATCCTGGAAAGGGCAGGGTGGAGTGGCCATCCCTGGAGGGATTTCAGAGCCCTGTGGATGTGGCCCTTGGGGACCTGGGGCAGTGGTGGCAGTGCCGGGGAACGCTGGAGTGGCTGATCTCAGAGGGCTCTTCCAACCTGAACCATTCCATGGCTCTACTGCCCAATGTCCCTCCTGGGAAACTGGGATTCACTTCCCAATTTCCACAGCCCCAGGGGCACAGAAGGACCGGCCCTGCTGCTCCAGGGACCCTTCCCCAGGTCCCCAAGGCAGCTGCAGCCACCCCAGCACCGTGGCTCTGCGTGTCCCACGGCAGCCCGGGCTCCCTGAGGTCACCTGCTGCCTGGCCCTCCATCCTCACCCCTTTCACAGTGGCTGTGGCACCCTGGGACAACTTTCCAGCCCCATTCCCCCATTCCAGCCCGGGAGCTGCCCATGGAATCGGGAATGCTTTGGGCTGGAGGCACCTTAAGGCTGTTGCAGCCTGCCACGGCAGGGACACCTCCCACTGTCCCAGGGTGTTCCAGCCCCTGTGCTGCTGGCCTGGGGCACTCCAGGGGTGCAGGAGCTCACTCAGGCCCTGCTGTGCTTTGCTTTAATTAATGCAGTTAATTAAACACAAGCAGCTCTTGCTGCAATCCCACCCAAAGCCCTCAGACACCGAAGGGAGTGGGTGCAGTTTCAGCACACACCCACTGTTCTCACGACAGAGCATTTCCCAGGAAAGGCCCTTCCCCAGCATTTCCTTCCCCTCCCTCACCTGGATCCCCTCCCAGGAGGCCTCTGCTGCCTCTCCCCCTCTGGAATTGTGAATGAACTCCGGGAAGAGCCTGGCTTGGGCGCTCTGTGAAATGTAGGTCAAAAGTCTGCGTGGTTTGTCACCAGAGAGGCTGAGTGTCATCTGCCTCGGGCAGATGGGGCTGAGTCACTGCTGCTGCCTCCTCTGCCTTCCTTCTTCCCAGTCCCTTCTTCCCATCCCTCCTCCTTCCCAGTCCCTTCTTCCCATCCCTCCTCCTTCCCAGTCCCTTCTTCCCATCCCTCCTCCTTCCCAGTCCCTTCTTTCCAACCCCTTCTCCTTCTGCTTCCCAACCTCCCAGTCCTTTCTCCTTCCCAAACCCTTCTTCCCAACCTCTTCTCCTTCCTCTTCCTTTCTCCTCCCCAGTCCCTTCTCCTCCCCAGTCCCTTCTCCTTCCCAGTCCTTTCCTCCTTCCCAATCCCTCCCTCCTTCCCAGGCTCTTCTCCTTCCTCTTCCCTTCTCCTCCCCAATCCCTTCTCCTTCCCAATCCCTTCTCCTTCCCATCCCTTTTTCTTCTCAATCCCTCCCTCCTTCCCAACCTCTTCTCCTTCCTATTCCCTTCTCCTTCCCAGTCCTTCCCAGCCCCTCCTTCCCATCGGATGCTGCTGGAAGAGCACAGTGACATCAGGAGAGCAGCAGGCCACTGCCTTGTGACAATTTCCCACATATTTTTTTTGTGGAAGCTGTTCCTCTTCCCCAGCACAGCACCTACCACACCAGCTGCCCCTTTCTGAAGTGAGCAGGAATTTTAATTTCCTTCATTTGCCTCCTGTATTTGTCTTGGATGAGAAGAAATTGTCCTTTGTAACAGGGAAGAAAGGTAAAAGAGGTTTTTTTGACCTACAGGGTGTGGGGGAAAAGCTCCCCAGCACTTCCATCCTGTTTTTTTTGGGAGTGCACTGGAACTGCTGCTCCTTACATCCCCTCAGGCAGCCCTGACATCAATTCACCTTTATAGGACATTCAGTCCCACAGAACTGATTCCTTTTGTGCTGGATGCACAAACAGAGCCGTAAAAACCCCTGGGTTGGTGTCACGGTCATGGACAGGAATAGGGAAGAGTTTGAGGTAACACCCACCAAAAAAAATTGCTGTTTTTTGTTTCAGAACACTGACTTGGAGGTAAAATATTCCCAAGCAGTTTGATTCCTCCGAAATCCTCATGGCTGCTCCCACAAGCTCCATGTGCAGGGGAATATTGGGACAAAGTCCAGGGAACAGGAGTGGCGTGGTCTTGGAGAGATCCCTGCCACAGCTGCAGCAGGGGTTGGAGCAGCCCAAACCAGGCTGGCATCTGGGCAGAAATGGAAATTACTGCACAGAAATAATCATAATAGCAGGGGTAGAGGCCACACAGCTGCTGCTAGAGAGCTCACAGGAGTGACACCTGAAAAAATGACATTTCCCCTTGAATTGTGCGAGCAGCGGGTATTGAGCACAGCAGCACCCTCAGCAGAGCCCTCCTCAGAGGCGCAGCAAGAAGCAGAAATGGAGTTTTCCCCTCTGACCTCTTTGTTGGTGACTCCTGGGGGCAGGGTGCCGTGCTTGTAATCCTCCAGCAGCTGCACGGCTTCCTTCAGGCGGCTCTGCAAGGGAACACAGGGAGCTGAGCACCCGAGCACGGGTCTGGGACAGCACCCCGGGGTGGGCAGGACAGCACCCCGGGGTGGGCAGGACAGCACCCGAGCATGGATCTGGGACAGCACCCGAGCACGGGTCTGGGACAGCACCCGAGCATGGGTCTGGGACAGCACCCCAGGGTGGGCAGGACAGCACCCAGAGCACGGGTCTGGGACAGCACCCAGAGCACGGGTCTGGGACAGCACCCCGGGGTGGGCAGGACAGCACCCTGGGGTGGCAGGACAGCACCCCGGGGTGGGCCACCAGGATGGGCAGGGACAGCTCCTGCTGCCCCAGGGCACCCCACACTTTATATTATATTATATTATATTATATTATATTATATTATATTATATTATATTATATTATATTATATTATATTATATTATACATTATATATTGTATTACATTATATATTGTATTGTATTACATTATATATTGTATTGTATTACATTATATGATTACATTACATTATATTATATCATATATTACATATTATATTATATTATACATTATATATTGTATTACATTATATATTGTATTGTATTACATTATGTATTACATTATATTACATTTACTATACCACATTATTACACTATATTATTATATACTACATTATATTTACACTACATTATATTATTATATACTACATTATATGATTATATTATGCATCTATTGTATCACATTACATTATACTAACAATTATTTATATTACATTCTGTTACATCAACTACTGTTTCTATCTATAAACACAACTACATACGATGATGCACAATTCAATAGAAATAATTCTATAATTGTGCTCATTGCGGGGATGTGGTTTTGTCCCGGAATCAGTGAAATCACAGAAATCACGGAAATCACGGAAATCACGGAAATCACCCCCCCTCTCCCAGAGCTCTGAATGGAGAGCTGCAGCCAGGCATGAATGGGGCCTGCTGCTATTTTTCCCCTTCTCTTGAGGAAATCTGAGGAGTTACTATAACAACCCTGGCCAGATCCCATCTTGTTGAACGGTAACAAACAGCAAACAAAAAAGCTCGGCCGGCTTTGAAAAGCCACGGGCTCCACAAATTCCCCCTGCCAGCTCCGCGGGGACAGGGGGACTGTGGGAAACATCTGCAAAAAACATTCCCAACTTAACAGAAAGTTCACGTCCCATCTACCTGCACGCAGACTTCAGGGTAGGAAAGACTAACTTCAGAATATATAGATAAGGCAGACATTAATGAGAGAGAAAACATATATATCTGTATGCAAACTTTAAGGGAAATAGACTAATTTAAAAATATAGAATAAGGCAGACATTGTTGAGAGAGAAAACATATATATCTGTATGCAAACTTTAAGGGAAGAAACACTAATTTAAAAATACATAGAATAGGGCAGACATTGTTGAGAGAGGAAACATATCTCTGTGTGCAAACTTTAAGGTAAGAAAGACTAATTTAAAAATATAGAATAAGACATTGTTGAGAGAGAAAACATATCTCTGTGTGCAAACTTTAAGGTAAGAAATACTAATTTAAAAATATAGAATAAGACAGACATTGTTGAGAGAGAAAACATATCTCTGTATGCAAATTTTAAGGCAAGGAATACTAACTTAATATATATATAGAATAGGGCAGAGATTGTTGAGAGAGAAAACATATCTCTGTATGCAAACTTTAAGGTAAGAAATACTAATTTAAAAATATAGAATAGGGCACACGTTGGGAGAAAACTAGAACTAGAGATAAGTCTCAAAAGATGGCTTTACAAATGAGATTAAATACTTTAAGGAAATAGAACTGTGAAAAATATATTGTAATATCTGCAGCAGGGAGCTTCTGCAGGGACAGGAGTGCTGCACCAGCAGTGCCAGTGGGTGCTGACAAAAGAGTGGCACAGAAAGTGAACAAAACAAGTGTTAAACCGGGCTCAGGAGATCCTTCCACACAGCCCCGAGCTGCTCCAGCCTCCAAATTCCGGGAACACTCAGGGTTGCCTCCTATTCCTGCTGGAAAAGTCAAGCACGTTCTTTTAAGCGGAGCCCAGAAAGAGCCGGGAGCTGCCGGCTCCTATCCCGGATTTCGGCTCCACTCCCAGCTGCTGGCGCAGGGATTTCACTTCGGCTCCTTCCACCAGCACCCCCAGCTCTGTCTGCAGGGTTGTGCCACTCTTTCAATATTTGTGCTTGCTTGCTTTCCCTGCTGCTGTCTGTGGGATGAAGTGTCACTCGAGATTTTACAGCATCCCCGATTAAAAAA